GTTGTGTGTGTGTGTGTGTGTGTGTGTGTGTGTGTGTGTGTCGTGTGTGTGTGTGTGTGTGTGTGTGTGTGTGTGTGTGTTCTTCTAAAAAGAACAGTGCTAAAAAAAAAAATGCAGTCAGGAACATACGCAGCTAATAATGCAACGATACTGTAAACACCAACCTTTAGGCGACAAAGATCTCGATCGTTTCTGTGTGAGATATCTCTTCAATAATCAGATCTGTGATGATGCTATTACATATTTTTCATTAACAATTCGTTTTGGATTTTATTATAAGTGACGCATTCTCTCTCTCTCTCTCCCCCTCTCTCTCTCTCATTCTCTCTTTCTCTCTCTCTCTCTCGCATTCGTTTTGACAACATATTTAACAAGCATACTGTTAAATTATATTCTGTAAACAGATTCAAGTAAACGTAAACGTAGAAGTAGCAAAAAACGCTCGACGTTCACACGCATTTATGTAATTTGGAATACTTTTTTTTTTTTAAGATGCATAATATTAAAATTACGACTATATGCCAGTCTGTACAGCCACATTTAGATTTCCCTTTTTTTTTCTTTTTTTTACAAGATACCTCGCGTGCCGCTTAACTTACGCATCCAGTCTTCGTTAAAAAACCATTGCGTATCGCACAGGTTTCCTTCAATTGTGTTACCAATCATCGATCGGGTAACGCAAAGATTCGATAACGCAAAGTGCGCCTCTGATAAATTGCCGCGTGGATTTCTTTGAACGCTAGCAATTGGATGTTTATTGATGCAAAACAATAAGCATAACATTGATAAGTCTTCTTAGCGCTTTATCGTTCTATTTTCAATAACTGCTTATAATCGACATATTATTATGTTATTTCACATTCGTACTGCTTCGTCGTAAACTTTGTCTTTGTATGCCTTTGAAGCATTACGATATTTTCTCATGATGTTCTCATGTATAGTTCACAATTGAATAAACTTAAACATTCAAAATAATTTGTTCTGATTGCGAAAGCTTTTCTGGACTTTTCATAGATTTCGTTAGGAATTTACAAGAGTGTAATAAACGATTCCTCAACATAAAAAGAAATTTATTAAACAATCTACGTAGAAAGCTCTCGGCTGTTGTTGTTTCGACATTTACATTCGCTATTTCAAATATTTATGCGCCGATACGGCATTTTAAATACATGTTGGCTAAGTTGAGTTAATCACAGTAGGTAGAAAAGATAGATAAATAAAGGTTCATAAATAACGGATTTTGCGCAACACGACGCAAATTACCTTGCTGAAAGTGAACTCATCGCGCGAGATCAACTTGCTATGTTACAAATTAAATACAAAAGAAATAAATCGCTAATTTATAATCAAATTAAAAGAATACTATGATTGAATCACTATATTAAGGGGTAAATCGCTGGAAACATTATGGTATACAGATTTAGAGCTGGACTGCAAATGCAACTAAATATTTACAGTATTAATGAAAAGTTATGCACTATTCTTGATTCTACTTCAGGTATATCGATTTCGATATTCATCAAAAGCGTGAAACAAGGAATAGCTGTCAAATATTTTGAGAATTGTTTCTTACAACAAATTTTAGTAATCAAACATGCGAAAAACTTGATCCATAATTTCCATTTAAATTCCATTTTAAATAAGAATATTTTTAATATATTGTAGATATGTGTGTCATGTTCTATAAGTAAAAATATATATACTATATATATAACATATGTATTTTGTATATATATATTATATATATTTTATATATATTTTTAAATATATATATATATGTATGTATGTATATATATATATATATTTATTAGTAATATATAATATTAAGTGTAAGTTTTAAAATGTTTATTATCTTTTCTTTCTTTTTCTATTTTTATATTGTGAAAGACTTGTTCAATGCTATATACAAAGTATTCTACGTGCTGATAAGTGGAAAAATTAAGAAAAACTTGAAGAGAACTGTCTAAAATTAATAAAAAAGTGTTACTTAAGTATCATTTAGTACAATAGTAGGCATTGGTGTGCATAATTTCATCAGCGATTTACCCATGATAAAGTTATTACTTTCTGAATTGCTCCTCAAAGATAGAACGATTGTTTGCTCTCACTATTCTAAAAAAGATAAGGTATATAAAAAATGTATTCAAACACAAGAAAAGTGTTCCAAGATATTTAAAAAGCAGCTTGGAAAAAAATTTCTTTGCAAATCTTACAGTCTTCTTACTGCATGTCATAAAATAAGTTAGTGATTATAATTCTTTGTACTTTGAAGAAAATCGAGCAAATCTTGAATTATATATATATATTTCGAATTAATAAAGGAATTAACTTAGGACATATATGTCGGAATGTTCTAATGAGAAACATTATATACTTTCACACAATCTCAGTGTAAAGTTTTGCACAGTTTAGTACAACGTTAAATGACAAGTTTGCGTTTCAAATATCTTGAATATAGATACAGTATAAGAGAGGAGCGTAATTAATCTTTTTTCGCCAACGATGTTACAAGTGTTAGATGTTACATCATGCAGAACATAATACAGTACCTCTTATGACTACACGTACAAATTTTGTATATTTATATATCTTACGGTAGGATAAAAGCTGGAGTTTCACAAAAAATCACGATCTAATAAAATTAAAAAAAAAGAAATATAGTTTATTGGAGATAATTCTCAGACAATATTTAGATACAATATACGTGCATTTTGTAATCAAATGTTCTCAAGATTCTCTAGGTGAAAATCTTTACTGAGTGACACACTAAAGTCATTCAAGATGTTACATAAAATTTGTATTAATAATTCAAATCGAGGAACTATATCATCGCTCTCTCATGATGCACAAAACAGCGCTGAACGCGTCAGGGCAATGTTTTATTTCATCGTATACAAAGCTTGGATTTACTTGTCGATATCGTTTTTCGCTTGTATTAAAATCGCGCATTTAATCTGGCTGGAGAAATGAATATATATATATATATATAAACGCAGTTTTCCGATCTTTAGTACATCAGAACGTCATTCTCTTACTATACAGAGTTGTATAAATTATTATGAGTGGCTGCCTAATTTAATTTCTTCTTGGTGTGGTGGAAATTTAATTGTAAATCTTAATGGCCTTTTCGAGGTAGTTGATACGAGAGCGCTTTGGCGCTTTGTTGACGTGTTCCAGGCCAAGCCAAGGCCTGTGTGGCGATGTGCCTGCGTTTAAAAGTGGATAAACTACAAAATTCATTCCCCATCAGCATCGTATTGCAATATGCTACACACACACTAATTACTGCGAAAACTATGCGAGTTTTTTTACGACGCTTACTTTACTTTGTTACTTTACTGCTTGAGAAAAGTGAAACAAAAAATATATATATATATATCTTGTACTTACTCTGACTAGTGTATCTAGGAAGGAAATCGTCGATTTTGATACAATAGTCCGGCGAGTCGATAATAAACTGTGGCTTGCCCATCGTCACCACCGCGAACTTAAACTTCAAAGTTTTTTATGAATTCTCATAAGAGATCAAAAAAGATTAGTTAAGGATGCCTACCTTTTCGAATTCTTTCTCCTGCACTCCCAGCTTCTTTAACAATCTGTCCTTCATTTTGGGGAAAGGTTCGCCCTGCGGGTACACAACAGATCATTGATACACCGCGCGTGTGGTTTACACGCGCATGTGGATTTAAACTTCAGGGATTACTCACGTGCTTGATCTTGAAGAAGAAAGGTATGCCGAACGTAGAGAAAACATCTTTGTGGAAATGCGCAACAGGAACCAGCATTTCGCCCTCTACTAGATTTATTTCGTCATTCGGAATCTCTTCTATCCTGTACAATTTGGTGCCTGACGTGTTTAGGTTATCTAAAGGTACATCCTCACTCGGGCCGGGCAACAGCTTGTTGCAATTTATTTCTAATATCCTCAGCTTTCCCGATCCGTTTTCCGACAACTCCACTTGCTTCTTAGCCTCCTCGAGTAAATTGGCAACGGTGCCGTTCTTATTTGGATAGAGGATAATCTCTTTCTCCTCCTTAAGCGACGGGCCCACCCATATGCACTTGAATTGTTTCTTGTTTTCTAGCTCGTTCACTCGAATACTGAGCTGTTGATAAAATAATTTCTTTACTTTCGTCTTGCAATACGAAACTAGTTCTTTGAGAGTGCCTTCGAATGTACACTTTAAAGGATGGCCAGGAGAGTCTTTGTAACTAGAAAAGAATTTCAGAATGAAGCGCTCTTCTTTAAACAGCTATAAAAGAATCGAAACATTGTCGATACATTGAAGTGTGAGTAAACTCTTACTTTTGACATTTAAAGAATTGTAAAAGATACGGATCTGTGCCGACTCGCTGCGCAACAGCCTTCGCCATTTGATCGTACGTCATTCTTAATGAAAGTTCCATGGTAAAACCTGGGTCGTTAGGAATTGTTTTATCACAAAACGTTACTTCTACCCTATAGAACAAATCCCTAAAAGGCACAAATTGTTAGAAAATGTTTCAACAGATTTAAAGACGCGCCTCTCACCAGCACTAAGCCTTCACATTTTGTTGCACTTACTTGAAATACTCCCGACATGTTGGAAGTTCATAAATGTCATTATCTCCTTCCTTCTGAAATACAATAATGTCGCCATCCATTAATTCTTCCAAAACTTTTTCCAACGGCTCCGTTAAGTTGTCTATCTTTTCAACTAGATTTGGTTTAATTTCCTCGTACAAAGCAAGTTCTGTGTCTGATGGAAATCCCGCTCGTTCGTTTAGAATTGGTATCAATTCCTCTGTGAATTCACCAATTTAAAGAATTCAAATTATACACACAGAAAAATACATACTGTATTTAAGAAAAATATTATTATTGTTTTAAGTATTTTATAAGTTCATATATCCGCAAATCTATCGTAAGTTCATCATAAGCATCAAATTTATTCAAAATATATTTTGATCCCAGTAAGTTTAATACTTCAATCAAGAATATTAAATTAGAAAAAGAATTCTATTTGCTTATTAAATTAACCAAATCTGACTTTTCTTCGATACAATTTTATAATATTCTTCACCAAAAAATAATTACTTCTTTTGAGAATCTGATAATGAGTTTATCAAAAATTTGTGATGAGTATATTTTAAGACAATTATCAAGAAAATATTCTTTATTAAAGATAATTGTTACTTAAAAAAAGAAAAGTAAGCCGAGTAATTACTTTTCTTAGCAATAGAATGATATTTTTCTGTGTGTACATAGAAATAGCAATGCATCTTGAATCTTTCTCCCATCACAGATTATTATCGAATCTTCAACTTACGGACTTTGGCCACAACGGGCATGTAATGATGACCGCAGTAATGAATCTTCTTGTTTTTGGGATCGTACAGCTTGAAAAACAACAATACATCTGTGTCTTTGTCGAAAGGCGGTAACGCCGTCATGTCAGAATCCGGGGGAACCAATTCGACGAAGACATTCCACGGATTGTGATTTTCAGCGCAGTCGATAATGGGCTTCTGAAGATCAGCGTCTGGTTCGATCAATGTAGGTCTGCAGGTCTGATTTGAACGTTGACTGAATGGCCAAATACGTATCTGTTCTATGGGATATTTCTGCAGAATAAATGTGACAGTATTAAACAGCTGTATATGTATCGTCTCTGCGTTGCTTTTCAAATTTGAAGATATTAGAGACAAAAAAGTTGTTTTCACACGATTTTTGTAACACTTATCATGCTGCCATATATAGATGAGAAACATTTGTGTTGCTTTGCAAAGAAAATAAACCATATTCTCTTGTTCGCACACGTAAAGAAAAAAAAGAAGAAACGATATGCTACGCTGCACTCTTTTATCACCTATTTACCTACCGTGATGAAAATATAGTCTGATAAACCATTTGTATGGCACACACAATATCACACAAAGTACATTATATGTTAACATCAGTATTGATTTACTTTGTAAATAAATCCTGATGTACAAGCAGAAAATCAGTCTCTAATGATAACGGCGCGTGTGAAGGCGCCGGAAGCGTAATTGAGTCTTGAGTTATAAGCTTACTTACCAGACTATCGCTCAGCAGCTCGAGAAAATCGTGCACCGTGCCCTGCTTACGTACGCGAAATACACGATATAAAGCGTGCTCTGGGTCGTAGAGATCATTCCCTTGGTGACCGTCAAAGCTATCCTCGAGAAGGACATTAACGGTCATGTACAAGTATGCTTCCGTTCTCTCCTTTCTTCTTATTTGTTCCAGCCTCTTCTCCTCTTGCAGCCTCTCCACCAGCTAGACCAACAAAATTAAAATTATCCACGTGTGTACTCGTTTTGCTCTCATTGATCATTTCTCCGCGACTGTCTTTTCAATTTACACAATTTGAGTCCTTTCTTTCTCTCTCTCTCTCTTTTTTTTTTAGAAAAAGGTCGTATCTCTCAATATCATGCTTTTGAGATTCGAGAACGAATTGTATTCGAAACATCAAAAGAATGACGGTACATTTTCCATTTCTGTAATTTTAATTTTGTTCATCTGCCGCTATATCGACTACCAAGTCAAACAATTACACAATGAAAATTATTTGGCGGTGAGTGATGGTTTCCAGTTATCGCTTGCTGGCTAATGAATACAATTACATAGTAAATATATATTAGTAATTATACATTGAAAAAAATTGATATGTGTATATATATTATATATAAATTATATATAATAGATATATATATAATGTATACACACATATTCAATTGTGATGTACAAACAAAATATACTTTTAATTACATGCTGTGTTACTGTCTGAATAATGAAATAATCTTATTTGAACATAAAAATAAGTCTTTATGAAACAATAAAGTGTCTTAACCATTACCAAATAACTATGTACATGCATGATACATACCTATTAAGGACACTATATAACCACCACCCATGCCAAATAATTATAACAATGTAATGTGTAACTATAGTAGTGTGGAGATGCTTTATAATGCTTTGATATATCTCTATTATTTGAAATCGTATAAAATAGACAATAAAACGGTAAAAATAAGTAAAATTAACGTGGTTTCCGCCTGTGAAATTTTCTAGTATCCAACAGTTTATTCGTTATTCCTTTTTTTTATTTTTATATATAAAATAGTGGTATAGCATTTAAAGGTATCTCACGATTAAAGCTATTATAAAGTATTATTTATACTCTATCAATGATACTTCAGCATTCTTCCGTCTCTCTCTTAGTTATTAATATACAACAACAAATAAATAAATACCATCTGTCAATGATCATAATTACTATTAACACGGAGAGAATTGAAAGAACTACTTGCATAAGTAATTACTTAATTCTCTGCTAAAAACACGAAGTTTTTCACTTTGCTCGTTATTGTGTCGACTTTAAATATTAATTCACGAAAAACCGCGCGAAGATGATTAATATAAATCACATTATGTCTCACTCACTAAACAATCCAGTTAAATAGCAAACACGCTAAAGAAGACATATCAAGGAAGCTGATGTTGCTGACAAGTATTACTTATTTCTCCTCCGTTTTCGCGTATGTATTATATATTGTAAGAGCTAAAACCCCCGTCAGCTCGAGTCGATAACTGTTATATTCTCACTAATAACTCTTTTTGTTTCTCTCTAATTCTCTTATACAATTATTCACATATATCCAATTTTTTTTTTCTCTTGCGATATGTTTGTTCATTTTTTTCATTCACGACTTCGGTATACTACAATACAGTGATTAAATTTTAATCATATAGTACTATACAATTGTTTGTTACAATAAACATTCCCAAAACAATCCTAAGGCTCATCAGGATTTTAGTCTGATAATCATCATACTTGACGTTTGTTCGTTTCTGACGAATAAACGTTTCCAACAAAAGTGACAAAAATGCAACACGTACATTATAGTCATGAATCTTTCTCTTTAATTCTTTGCGTCATCGATATAAAATTATGAGTTAAGAATAAATAAAAAAATCACATGATTCTTATATATGCCTCGAGCGTCCGCACTGAAAAAAATCCTCTGTCAAAAGAAAGCGTTAAAGGCGTCCTTGATATAGAAAACAAATCTCTATATAACATGTATTATATAGTTCCATATAGTGTATATAATGTACATGTGTTTATAAAATCATGAATTGTATCATGAATTTTTTTTGAATCTTCCTGGACGTTAACCGACTCTCATCCTTACTTACTCATAGCAGATTCAAATTTAATAAAGGAGAAATCAAGTCTGATAAAGCGCGCCTGACTTTTGTATCGAATGTAATCATCTCTAGAGAAATAAGAATGATGTATTTGGATGTCAACATTTACGGATATAACAGCTTAAAGTTGATAGCAATGTTAAGAAAATTCCTCTTTAATAACAATCGCTCAAAAACGTATAATAATAGAATATTTAATTTCATTAAATAAACTATCTAATTTGTATATATACAATCTCAAAAATTAAACTATCGATGCGTGGTAGCCAAAATATCGTAACGAGGACATAAAGTCTCCTTGAGTCCTCCTTTCTTATGTATATATTACTCCCACATATTTTTAATAACGTGAGTCTGAATAATTCTAAGCTATGAGCAAGCTCATAGTAGCTCAATGCAACATTAAGACTTCAGGAAGAGTTTGATCGAGAAGCAACGCAAGCAATTTACAACTCCTTCCGCATATTTCTCTATCGGCGTTTGTCGGTTAAAAATCATGAATATAGAGATTTGGATTTCGAGGATTTTGAGTGCATGGACGAAGAGTCGCGGTCTCTGTGTGCGAGTCTTTAATCGAGTCAGTCACGTCTTTGTCACGTTCAAAATCGCTCAACTCCTGGGAAAGTTCTCTTTGAAGGACGTTTCTGACCTCTTGAGGTATATCCTCTTCCTTGACCTCTTGCAAGACGTTTTCCAGCTCTGAATTCCTTATGTAAACCAGCATATAAGCGTTGGTGCAATGTTTCACAGCCATAGACATATCCTCGTCTTGACCACCATAGTTGTGTTCAATCGCTTCCTGCTTTGTACATCGCGAAACAACATCATCGTCGAACTTGCACCACTGTAATAATAGATGGAGCAAAATATTTCAGGGAGATATCGCAACATGACAATATAACATTTAAATCATACACAGTTATCGCTGAAAGAAGTGCACACAAAAAATAATACATGATTATTTCACAGAGTATTTCTGAATTTCCCACAATTATTCTTCTCAATATTTTAACCTTAAAAATAGAGCTCTAAATATAATAGATGTAAAAATCTACGATTGGAAAGGACAGATCACAATTCAGAATATATAAAAAATAGATTTACTAAAATATTATATTTACTAAAAAAGAAATTGAATGCTGAGAAAATTAAAGAGAGATGTATTGAGTTTACAAAATTCACATAATATCAAATCTTTTACAACTTACTTTTCCATCACCAGCGGGATTAATAAATACAACATAGTGTCCACCATGATTGTCGCCACTATGGACCAGAACTGCGTGTAATGTGTAATCTGCACTGGTTGCCTCTTTGTTTTGCAGATATTTACCGAGACTAATTTTTTCATAAAATTCAAACCTTGAAAGATAGATTTATACAATTATTCACATGCTAAGCAATGAAATTTATATTTTTCTTTTCATAGGGTATAATTTTCATTCATTATCCATGTATCAACATGAACAAAACAATTCCAACCATTGTGAATTGAATAAATTAAAATCGACAGTCTTCAGTTTCTTACCTGTCGTTAAACTTGACTGAACAGTCTGTAACTGGGTCGTATTGAAATCGCATTAGATGTAAGTGTAAAACCGGTGGAAATGATGAAAAGATAACACCTTTCTCTGCTTCTTGTAACCCGTGCTCGCCCGCGTCATATTTATTATCGCCGTCGAGACTCTCTGTACTCACATAATCGCTAAAAGACTCATAAACTGAAATATGAAAAAAAAAGTCTATTAATCTTCTGTCATTAAAATATTGCATACTGGAAAACGCGATGTCAATTCCAATACTCACTGTTCTTTTTGCCCTTTATATTTAATTGTATGTCATAAAATGTTTCAACTCTCGTGGATTTGTAGTCTATGTTTTTACACTTGATAAAGGAGACCATTTTTCCCTCAAATAATTTTGGCACTGTACCTTCCACGCAAGTTCCTTTCATTTTGCTTTCCAGCTTGTCCAATAGCTAAATTTTTATATTTATTAATAAATAAAAATGTGTGTATAAATGTGTGCGTTTGCAGCGCAACTGACAGTTCAGTGTAACAAAATAAATAATGTATTTACCACACGTAAAAATTCTTGCACATCATGCTGCATGAAAGAATCCAACGTCTCCCATCCAAAGCTTTTAGTTAGCTTTTTTGTACCGACAGGTTTGTCAGAAAATTGTAACTCATGAAAGACCCTCTGCAAGGCCAGTGCCACACTCTTACTTGAATCGTCACTTTCTGTTGGCATTTTATATACCGCTTTTCGCAACTGGAAACGAGACCAAATGTAGATTAATATATGAAATATCGTAGAATGTCGTATTTTGCAAAAGTTCACCTTTTACCAACCTGATTTGTAAAGTACAAAGTTTGCAGTAAAGAATTCATGTAGCATGTAGCACCTTGATTCTTCAAGCCTACATATCCTGTATGTTTTTTACTGTCCCAACTGACTCCATGTGGTGCGTCAGCAACTACATGAACCTAATTAAAAAATCGAGAAACATTACAAATTGTACAATTTTGTTGACTTACAATACATATTTTCAGTAATAATTAAAAAATCATTATAAGTAGACAGAACTAGATAAAACGAGTATAAGAATGTTATCAAAGTTATTGATCAACAGAATAAGCAATATTACGAACCTCAAGAGTAATTGAATCATCTTTTATGTAACCTCTATCAGGATCCAGAACATCTTGCCATGTCATAAAATGACTAAAACCCCAGTCATTCTCTTTACTGTAGAAGAGATGTTGTATTTCTGTAAAAATATAAAATGTATTATCGCAAATAAATGTTTGGCCTTATTTTTAAATTAAAATTAAAGTTTATATATATAAATTAGATAAATGGAGTCACATTTACTTCTGCTAAATGGTTCCTGTCCTTCTTTACAAGAAAGAAGACGTAGCTCAGCAACAGCATAACAACTCCAGGATGTAGATTCACTCTCTCCGTTACACTGAAGGAAAAATCCAAGGGATCTTTGAGGCTGTCTTTCCTGCGTCTGACTTGATCGTGGCATCACCATTATTTTCCATGGTAGATTGCGGACATAACAGGCGGGGGAAAGTTGAGAATCCTTCATCTTGGATATATTTTCCACAGTATATCGAAAAGTAGCTTCTGATCTGGCTTCATCTAGTTACAGAAAATATAAAATTTATAAAATAATTATCAAATGGATTAAATAATACGCTTAAAATTGTAATTCTTTAAGAAATGTATGATAAAATTATTATTTATATTTGTCTAAGAGAACAAAAAATATATAAGTTATATGTCAATATAAAAATATTTGATACATATCTTGTAAAATTACTTTTAAATTACAAAGTGATTCAAATATGATGTACAAAACAGATCATACCTTCCTCCATTTCTTGATCTTGGACTATACACGCTAATTCAGGTTCACCATTCATAGGACGATTATCAGTTCCGTCTCCCCCACCATCATTTGGAGTTTCTACAAGAGTTAATATTTATTTTTACTAGCGGAGCACTGAGAAAACCTAATGAAAGTTTTGAAGTGAAAAAGCATTTTCAAAATAATGTAGGAGTTAACCTTAAATTTTACAACATGGATTGTAGCAGCAATAGATGCTTATGTAATTTGCATATGTAATTTTATTAATTAAATAAACGATTCATAACACATACGTGTGCTATGCTCAAAATTATATATCGAATGGGTAAAATTACATTTCTGCACAAATAACTTTAATGTAGTGCAATGTCACTATGAAGTATTTAGTTTACCTAAGGCGGCATGACAATTCAGAAAAATTTTTTTTATAAGAACATGAAGATTGCAGTCTATAGAATACTTCATGTGGAATGCTGGATGGCAAATAATTATTTCAATTTGATTGGAGAAGAAAAAGAAAATAACGAGTGAATTGCGTCAGTTGAAGATCATGAAGATCATGAAATCATTATAGGTTAATATTCACACAGTTGCACTACATATATTTTGTTTGATTCTCTATAAACTATAAATATTATATTCACGCGAATGAAAAATCGTCAATTTATCCACCACGTTCTGTATGTATTATGTACAACAGGTGCGTATATAATAACAACTACTTATCTAGCGCAGAATGTGATTTTCTTTATCAGCAGAAATGATTACATTTACTTATCCACGAAAATTTCTGATAATAAAACTGTGACGTAATGTTGTGTACTATCTCTCTACATAATCAGGTGTATCGATGAAGTATCTATATTCTGACACAATGCACACTATTGTTACAATACTATTTGTCATAATATAGCTGATATAAGTAAATTTTATTTTCCAAATAAAATAACAACAAAACGCTTAAATAAAATAAAATAACGCGACAGTTTAGGAAGACAATAACAAAAACTGCCATATTTGACATGAAGTGCAGTTTGACATCTAATCTGTAAGAATAATTTACAAAAATCTCGCGCCAGAATCTTTTGCTTGTAAAAAACATATTTTCTTTGAATAATTTTATTTAAAGACGATATATTGTCTTAAATATTTATATACTTTTATCTTCTCACAATATGAAATTGATTTTTCAAATATCACGTAGTCTCAAGGTCAATATATTATATTTATTTTCAAACCGAAAAAGAAAAAATAGAGAGGGAAGATTCGATACATAATTTTGGTTGCGCTAATTACACGCTGCGAAAAGTCAGCTACAAGTTGTCTCAAATCTAGTCGCCGTGCAGACGTGCTGCGACGGCAGCATGCGAGAAGCTCGGCTCTGGATCGTTCTTTTCGATCGTGATGCACACAAAGCTGCACCGCTATCCCACTCTAAATATAAAGACCATTCGGCAAGCGCGTGCTTACACGAAGTCGAGCGAGCGGAAAAAGAAGAAAATTCGAAGAAAGGTAGTGCGAGAAGGCATGCGGCGAAGAGAGGAAAGATGTTCTCTTTCCCTTCTTCGTCTGGAACGCTTCGCGTTTACGTTCCCAACGAAGCGAGACGAGAGAGAAAGAGAGAGAGAGAGAGAGTGAGAAGGGGTAGAAGGAAGGCGGAGAGGGAGGGAGAGAAAGAGACGGAGAGAGAAAGAGAGGGAGAGAGACATAGGGTTTTGTGGGAGATAGAGAAGGAGCGAGATTGAGAAAAGGTGCACTCACCCTCCTGTGTGTCCATCTCCTCGACCTCGTTAACTTGAACGGGTGCGAGGCTGAGCTGCTTGAGGTTCTCCTGGTCGTTTACGTGGTTCATCGCAAAGCCGATGTTGATGGTCGTTTTGATGGCGCCGGGTACCTCGGTGACGGCCTCCGCCGTCGAGGTTACGTTGTCGTCCGCGTTAATTGGTGCCTGCTGTTGCGGCTGTTGTTGGTTGTTGCCCGCCACTGTTGGTTGTTGCGCGGTCGCGATCGCTGCGCGATTCCGGCAAGAGGGAGTCGTCGTCGTCGTCGTCTTAGCGAGTGTCTTCTTAATCTGCACCGTGGCCGAGGATGTTCGTTCTTGCTGCGGATGTTGTTGCTGTTGCTGTTGCTGTTGCTGCTGCTGCTGCTGCTGCGGCTGCTGCTGCTGTTGCGGCTGCTGCGACGGCGGCGGTGACTGCCGTTGCTGCTGCTGATGCGGGTGTTGCGGTAACTGCCGCTGTTCCTGTTCCGTGTCCACGATCACCCGGCTATTATCGAAACCCACGTCGCCACCGGGACTCGAGAGCGACGTCGCTTTACCACACTCCGACGATAGATGTTTGCTCGCAGTTCGCCCAATTTCTGCGGCCATCAAGTGCCCCCACTCACACGGGGGACGCCCACAGCATATATTCCACCCTCGTGTGTATTAGCGAGAATAGGGTTCCGCGCGAGTCCCAAATACCGTGCTTTTACTCCAAATGCGTACTACTCGTACGTTCTTCCGAATGTCGCCACGGCTATGATCGCGGCTACCTTCGCGACGATGGCAGTAGCGATGTTTGTGATGATACTGGTGGTGGTAGTAGTGATGGTGGTTGGTAGTGGTGGTGCCACTGCTAGCGACGGTATTAGTGGCGACAGCGGCGGTTGTCTCGTTTACCAACGACGCGATCACTAAGATCACTAACGAAGACGATCGCAATAAAGATGACGATCACAGCAACAATGTTGCGCGATCGTATTTATTTCACGTTTAGCCACTCACACTCGCTCTCTCTCTCTCTCTCTCCCACACACACTCGCTCTTTCTCTCTCTCTCTCCCTCTCTCCCGCACCCGTGACTGCTTGTCGCCGCTACGAATTTCGATCGCTCACTCTGATTCTCGATCGACTCGCCTGCGACTTCCGGTTGCGAGCGAACCCACCTGTGTCGTTGTTCTTGCAATGGGTTCTCTTACGCTCTCTTTTTTTGCTAGTCCCGATTGGACGTTGCTCGAATAAACACGTATACGCGCGGGCCGATCCCGTACGCCGCGATCGTTGCTCGCGGATCTTACCGTCACGCGAAAATAAACAAAATGGCAGCCAGTCACAGCTAGTGCGGCGGGCGACTCGGATTCGCTCATGCGCTCGCGGTAAGCACACTCCCACATCACGGAGATTATTTATTGTTTGCGTCCGCTACGCGGCGCTGGGGATTTTTACGCTTACATGCACTAAGCATCATTCACTTTTCGCACTTCCGATTTGGGGGTTTTTCTGATTTCAGCTTTAGACTTCTCGACCAATCAGAAAGTGATAAATGTGCGTGCGTCGGAAGATGATTGGCTGCCGCGACGCTTCTTACTAATAAAATGTTGACGCAATTCTATGTAAAGCAGCTCTTACGTGATCACGTGGTTAAGCAAGTAATGAAATAGTGGGGGAAACAGCATAAGAAGAATAGTATGTGCAAAAATAAAAAATTTAGATTGTGAAGATACCGAAGGTCTATTATAGAATTAGCGTGTAAAACGCCTTATAGTGTTTTATTATCGACATTTTCGGACGAAGCGCCAAATTTATTGTTGCTCGCCACCGCAATCGTGCCAAACAGTACAGGTTATCGGCGATAACATGGCTCCATTGTGATCGAGGCTCGGCGTTCGTATTCTGTATGACATGTTGAATCGTTGCACGTTGCGCGTTGCCCGTTGTCCAAGTAACTTGTCGCCGTTGCGGCTCGCCATTTAGCATCGCGAAATTACGAGTTACGTAGTGAGTACCCGCAGCGCCCACTTGTTTCATGCGCGCAGCGATATAATCACCGATACTTGCACTGCAAATGTGGAAGCCCGTTTCGTTGTATGTTGTACATACGTTACAATTTGAGCGTCTCCATTCGATTTAACCTAGAACCCATTCATCACGCAGTCGTTTCGCCACGAAACGATTTCCTCGTCCCGAGACATGATCGAAGATTCTTTCTCCTTATGCGATTTCTACTTGTGAGCGTCATAAGCCGTTTTCAGGAGGAGGTACGTTCATATGTGTTGTAAAAACACATTTTGTGAGATTATTATATGTGTGGTGTGCGTTTGATGAGATCAAAAATTATATAAAAATGTTTGTTCTATAAAATATGAAAAAATACAGCAATGTACTATTTTGTTGTGTATAAGTGATACATTTGTTCCAATGACAAATTTTAATCTGTAAAACTAAAAATTTTGTCTATAACATTTTTTCATATATGTTATTGCATATATTTGGAACGAATATCGTCAAAATCAGAAGGTGTGTGAAAAGAAGTTTCTAGAGAAAAATTTTTGTGGTCAACTGTAATCAACTTTTGTGGTTGTTTTCAAATTGAGAGAATAGTTTAATTTAAAACTGTGTAGAAAAATAGGCATTATTAAGAAATCTACTACTGCATTGTTCTTTCAAATTTCTTTTAGGTAATTTTTATGTATACCTTATTTATTAAACAATCTTTGTAGTAAAGAAGAGTGTACATAGCATGATATACAATATATTCTTCTTTCTTTATGAAATATATATCTTTTATAATTTTAATTTAATACTGCGTCTGTTATCATTATTTTTATCAGGCTTTTTTCAAATTATTTTTCTATTAAGATGAGTTAATTTTTTTCACGTTATTTTGTATTTTACTTATCACAGAGTATTAAATCTTATCTTATCATCAAGAGTGATTTTAATGTAATTTTGTGTAATTTATTTTGAGTAATTATCTATCTAGCTTATTAATAAGCTAAGGTGATATGTTAATATAAGGAATATTGATAATATGTTATATACATTTCCAGATTGTATAAATATTAACGATGTCTGTACATTACAAGTTTAAATCCACTTTGGACTATGATACTGTATCATTTGACGGACTACATATTTCAGTGGCTGATTTGAAAAAAGCCATATTTCATCAGAAACGTATTGGCAAAAATACAGACTTTGACCTGCAAATTACAAATGCACAAACAAAAGAAGGCAAATATTTTATTTTGTTAAATCTTTATTTTAATTTGCATTTTATGCAAATGTAGATAATATATTTAATAATTATATTATTTCTCACAGATTACACAGACGATAGTGCATTAATTGCTAAAAATACTAGTCTAATCGTTGCTAGAGTTCCATTAACAGTACAACAAAAGCGTTCCTGGGATCGAAATGAAGCCCCTCCATTTAGTAATTTAAAAGATGAAACAAATTTGGGCCGAACTGTAGATCTTACAAGATTAGATGGTTCTGAGGAAGATAAAATTCGTGCAATGATGACACAGTCGACTCAAGATTATGATCCATCAAAGTATGTCCTTAATATAAGTTATTTTTTGCAGTGTAGAGTTTGATTTTTGAAGAGAAATGTTTGATATATCTATTAGCAAGCAATTAAATTTTTGTAATAATCTACATATAATATACGACTTATGTAAGAAAGTTTGGTGCATACATAATTTTTTGACAGTTATATGAAGATTCGCGGAGCTAATCAGACTGGTGATGTACCTGCCAATTATCGTTGTTATAAGTGCCACCAACCTGGACATTGGATAAAAAATTGTCCACTAGGCACAAATCAAGAGCCAATTGAAATAAAGAAAAGCACAGGCATTCCCAGAAGTTTCATGGTGCCAGTTGAAGGACCCTTAGTACCTGGTGCTATGATGACACCCACAGGACACTATGCTGTTCCTGCTATTGACCAGTAAGCTCTATTATAATACATACATTATTTAGATTTTAAGAAATATTACTATATGTATATATTTTATTACAATATTTGTATATGTGTATGTTTGCGGACATAAAATATACGATCGTTACTTTTCTTTCTGTAGTCAAGCCTATAAGGAAGGCAAGAAAGAACGACCACCATTTTCGCAAGACCCAGAACCTGTAGCAGAAAAACCAGAAATACCAGAGGATCTGTTATGTAATATCTGCAAAGATCTTTTAACGGATGCAGTGATGATTCCATGTTGCGGAAATTCCTTTTGCGACGAATGTAAATTTTTATCATAAATTATTGATGATTAACTCTGTACAAAATTACCAAAATATACATTAATATGTATATACATATTTTTTTTACAGGTATTCGTACATTTTTATTAGAATCAGAAGAACACGAATGTCCAGATTGTAACGAAAAGGATGTGTCACCAGAAACTCTTATTCCAAATCGATTTTTACGTAATGCAGTGATGAATTTTAAGAATGAGACTGGTTATGCCAAAAGACAAACGTATCGGCCTCCTGCTCAAAGCAGTGGACACTCTATTGCATCGTCGGATCAACCAAAACCTGAAGTACAACAAACTGCAAGTCAAGTAACCACACAAGCTAAAACCGTGCAACCGTCCGTTGTTCCTGATGTACCATTGCAAGAGTCTGCGGAACTTCAATCCACTAATTTTGAATCTGCCTTGCAACAAGCTCCAGCTACCACTTCTACCTCGCAGCCACAGACATCAACGAGTAAGTGTTTTTTGGTAACAAGTGTTATTTTGTTGTACATATAATTAAAAATAAATAGATTTAAAAAGAATGCAATAATGCAAATAATTTTGTAATATGCTAGGGAAATATTAAATATATCTTGTATGAAGTTTTGTGTTCAGTAATTATAGTTTGTTGCTTCATTGAATTTTCATTAGTTATTGGTGAAATCAGTGCGTGATAGCATGCAATTGTTATTTTTCTTCTTTTTTTTTTACTAAAAGTAGTACTTACTTAACCATATTAGGGACTTTTCAAAAGATCCAGCAAGGTAAATTAAAGTTTATGCATATTATATTAATACAAAATTGCTAATTTGTATATATATATGTATACATACATAATTTATGGTTAAAATGCTGTGATTATATTTGTAATATTTTGTGATGTATTAATTTATAAGAGTATGAGAGGAAAGAAATATGTGGAAGTATAACTATATGAAAATATTTATAATGTGTGAGAAAAATCTTATTAGCAAATTCATTGATTTTAGAGTTGATCACTAATGGTAATTTTTTAAGTTATTTTCTGTTATAAAAATATTGCAGCAACTACAAACACACAGAAGGTTTGTATTGTATTAGCGCCTCAAAGTTATAAAAAAAGATTACTAGTAGATTAGTTAACTTCATTGGCTTTTTATAAAAATTACTTATATCCTAACAAAAATCTAATCTATTATCAATTGAATATTATAAATATTTATTAATGAATAGCCAAATAATTATGAATGCTTTTTTATTAAAATTTTAATTACACAAATATTCAAATAATGAAAATTGATTAATGATATATACTTAAAGTCCTATCTACATCATAAAATATGAAAAGTGTTCCTTGATATTTATATATATTTATATATATATATATGTATCTAAAATTTAGTAAAAAGATAATTAGCCCTATTTCATTTATATATGAAACGCTGTTTCACATTACATAGCACATATAACGTCGTATATTTTACTTACATATAATATACATAATCTATATCTCCCCTTACAACGCTGAACTTTCTGTCTTTCTACATGTTTCTCGTACGTAAACAGAAGGCAGACGCCATTGTTGGAGTATGTGATCAATGTAGCTTTGGCATTTTTAATTGACATGGCGCATAAATATTTGAAGAGATAGCTTTGATTGCAATGGAATGCGCTCGATTGTTGCCTAATCTCGCACTATAACATATTGCTAACAACTTATTCGAATTCTGATATTGGCCAGCTGACGATATCGAACACATAACCTCAAACAATATGAGGCTGAATCCCGTATGTTTTTTGCGTCTAACTCAAAAGTGCCATTGATGTACCGCGATTCGTATTTCTTAGCGAGCTTTATAATTGCCGATTTTAATCGCCTAATCGTACGTGATGTGCTTCTGACAGTTCTGCCTGAATCCACTCCAGAGTCACACTTGCAAAGTGATTCGGTAACAAAACTAACAACTGACGAGGAAACTGAGGTACCTCCTCCTCCAGGGACAGAGCCTTTACTTCCTATTCCTGCCATCGTAAGTTCGCCGGAACGGGAACACGAGCGAAGTGATCCTCCCAGTCGTGAGAAGAAAGAACGTGACAATGAATACGCAGGAGAACGTCAATCGAGAGAGCGTCGACGGAGTTTCAGCAGGGATGGACACCGTGAAAGGTAAATTTTCGCAAAAAGACGTCGCGTTCGATAAAATTATAACACTATGGATCTAGAGATCGATAATCAATACACACGAGGCTGATGTTAAAGCTGTAAAACGCAGTTGTAAAATTTCAAACATTTCGATTCCGCTTATTTTGACATAACTTCTTAATTTTTAGATTATACATGTATTGAAGAAGACTCATAGTCAAAACATTTGTCATTTCTTTACAACATTGCGCAAACAACAACCGCATTTTATAGCTCTAATGAACTTTATATGTATATTAATTTTATAAGTTCTAACAAAACATAAAATCTAACATTAAAGTGAGCTGTTTAAGATCACATTTGTTGACTGAAACGTTTGTAAATCAATTGATCTCATAGGTCATATTAGATTTGTGATATTGACTTCTATATTAAAAGCGATATATATTATATTAAAGAGAAATTTTCTCTATTTCAAGACACAAATCTGTATTACAATGTAAAATAAAATATTCAAATAATTTATTTTTTATATAATAATCTAGAAGTGGAGAACGTGGTCGTAGAATTGAGAATTTACGGCCGCTGAATCGCAACCGTAATCGTTCCCTGTCGCCGAGACATTCCCAGCATAGCGAATATCCACCTTCGGGCACGGTACTGCCTCATTTAATGAACCCGCCTCCTTCCAAGGGTTATCAAGGTCATCTTGCGGATGATGGACATTACCCGCCTGCTATGCATTATGACAGCGGAATACGTAGATCTAACGAAGATCGTGCAGGCACTCCGACGGTGAGTAAATATTCGCTTTATAGTTAAAATAGTTGAATCAAATTAACGTGCGTCATCTATACTTGGTGGTTGCCTTTACCTTTGTTAACGTAATTTTACAATCAAGAAGTTTAATCAAGTTTCAGAATTTTAAAAGCAGTTTATACCCTGTAATGGTCGTATTAATTCATTGTCACAACATTTCAGGTCGACGAGCCACATTTGCATGTTTCTTCGTCCGGCAATCAACCACCGTTACTGCCGTTTCCACCGGGCGAGGAGCGCATCCCACCGCCAAATTACAATCAGCCACCGCCAAACGTACCTCCGCACAATCCACCACTGTTGCCAGATCCGTATATGAGTCATCGTATTCCGATATATCCGCATCAACAGGGATCTCATTATGGACCGCCGAGATATGACAGACCTCCTTATCAGCAGCAGGGATACCGACCGTCTCAGCCACCTCGGAACTACAATGGACCACCGAGACCGATGAGAGGTTTACACCACAGTAAGCGATTTGTTAAATTCTATATCTAATCGTAAGTCATATGAAACAAAGTGAGACAAATGCTTTTAATCGAAACTAAAAGCACAGAATAAAAGTACTCTATACTTTCTCCCTGTAATTCTTTTCTTTTTTCTTTTAGAACAAATGATTGACTCCTGTTTTTTAAATACTTACTTTTTAAATATTGTCAGATCTCCATTTTATATCTATAATTACATTGGAATTATATTTATATATAATTAGTAGTTTTTATTGGTTACATCTTTTCGTATTTTCTACAAGCTCTTGATAGAAACAAATGTTGTGATATATTTACTCACATTTAGTCACATAATTCATAGTATGTATTTTAATTCTTCGCGGACAGGACAGTTTAAAAGAGGAGCGTTAGCATGGAGAGAATGACGTACATCTAAATATTAACTTATCTAATGTATTAATTACTAGAAGTAGGTAGAATAAAACTTACACACTTCAAAAACTAAATTTGATGCAGCAAGTAAACGCGCGTTCGTGAAGAGTCAATGCGTTGGGTAGTATTTCATTTTGCATATTGTATTTTGTTTCAGTGGGATATAGAAACTTGCAGCCGCCGCCGCCAGGACTAGGTAGAAATATACACAATGGAAATCCGCCAGGGTAAGCTAATTCTTCGCATTGATGTTTCAATCGATGAAAATATATTTGCGAGCTTCGTTCTTGATTAATGTACTCTTTTCAGTATTATCGATGATCCGTTGGAGGCATTCGAACGAATGCTCAGAGAAAAAGACGAAAGAGATAGACGTTTGGGAAAGCACAGAAGAAGGAGCAGAACCCGATCTCGATCGCGCAGCTACAGTCGATCTAGATCTCGTTCATTTAGCCGCAGATCGCCATTCGGATCTCGCCTTAGCCGATCACGAAGTCCGCCATCGAAGCGAAGATCATCGAGATCACCCTTGCCGCTCAGACCTCGTAGCCGCACTCCGAAACGTAGATCGCGAAGTGGGAGCTTTTCTATTAGCAGGTATTTTAATTTTCTATTTTTGTGGCTTTAATACAGTGACACGCAGTGTTCGCTTGATATTAAAGTTTTATCTGACATTCGCAGATCTAGATCATACTCGCGTAGTCAATCGCCAAGGTTATCTCCGTCAAGAGACAGAGATCGGGATAGAGATCGGGATAGAGATCGAGAGAGAGATCGGGAAAGAGACCGTGATCGCGACAGAGATCGCGAACGGGATCGAGATCGCGACTTACTGCCCAGATATCGATCGCCAGTCAGATCACCTCCGAGGTACGGCATTCATTATTGCACGAAAGACACTTCGTAAGATGTATTTCGAGCACGTTGTACTAATTGATGCAAACCTAATCTTGCAGATTTCAAAGGGAGAGAGATCGCGAGAGAGATCGTCCGCGATCTCGCGAACCTCGAGATGGATATGGTACTTATTATAGCGATTCGCCAGCTCACGATTATCAGTTCCGTGATCGTGAACGCGATTTACCACCAAGAGAGAGGCCGTTACCGAGATATCCAATTAGGAACCAGCCGCCCCCGCACAATATACCATTGATGCCGCATCTAGTCACTGGAGGTCACCCACCACCGCCGCTTATTGGGTCATTGGGACCTCCGCCTACGGACAGGAAAGACTATTATGATTCCTACAACAGGTATTTTCGCCTCAATAGTACTTTCATTCATGTACACGCTAAGCAGACAGTTCACCGACATACCTATGCCACTAGTTTAATTAAGCAAAAGCTGCGCAACGGTGGTTGATGGATTATATAAAAGCGATTACATAAAAATTGAATTGTCCTGTTGTTAGCGGGAAAAAACTCGTGCGCACCGAAATAATTCTGGAAATTTATTTTGACTGTGCATTGACTGTGCATTGACTGTGATATTATTTGGACGTATGTTGGTTATTGCATAAATTTGACAATGAGTAGTTCTATGTTTTGTTGCATATAAATTTTACGTTGATGCAAAAGTTCTTAAATAACGATTCAATCCCTCGCAATACTGACAATTCCGGCAATCGCACGCAATACGACGCCTGAGTCAATTCTGACCCATTTTCACTTGTGTAAATATTTCAAAATAAGTGCTCATTATTAGAATGACTGATATTTTTTATTTCTAAGATCAACTTTCTAAGAACAATACAAGTACTATCAAAAAATTATATTTATTTCATTGAGATAAAATGTATATCTTTTCTTTCCGAAATATTCGACACTGTTAAAAATACATTTTTTTGAGACACACTCGTCTACTTGTTCTAACAAAATTGTCAAAAACAAGTGACATACCAGTTGTGATATCCGGGATTTCGATCCTCTCGAATTTCGCGCGCTCGCGGCGGAAACGGAGAGAGAAGGAAGGGAATGAAGGGATTGGTTGTCGTTAGCGAGGGGTTGCCATATAAAGATGGTGGATGCCTTAAATTTACGGGGTAAGCAGACGCGAATAAAAGGGCATACGCGGATAAAATACGAACGCACGTCTCGCGGGGTGCGTCAGCCCGGCTCGACTGAGGGGGTGTAAATAAATAAACAGTTATTGTGTCTTTTGATATTAATTTAATACCACCACTTCCGGTAGATTCAAAATCTTAATCCTAAACGTAGGCGGTAATAATTGATTAAAGACGATTCTCGGTCTTGGTTTGGAATCGTGTAACAGCGTTATCTCTTCTGCTTCGGGAGGGTGCAGAGTGTTATTTAGTGACTCGAAGTGTTCGAGTAATACGTCCGCGTCCGGGTAACCTTTAGAGGAAATTGTCAAATGTTGAACAGTCAAGTCAGTTTTCTTTGGGTCTGAAAAGACTCAAGTACCGTTCGGCGAGGGTTAATTAACAAGCTATTAGTAGCACGCTTTAATTTTTCTCTTTATTTCTATTACGATTAATTGTAAGTGTGTGAATTTCATAGTGAAATTTATCTACTAAGTATACAAAAATGATGGCAACAAAATACGAACCACGAATATATCTAAAACGTTATTAAAGTACGAACATGTGGAACTTCTGCTACATGTCGAATTTATGCAATTCATATTTTACTATATAGCACAATTATGTAGTTATATAGTTAAACTCTAGCTCTTGCGCGCGCGCGCGCGCGCAAACTTTAAGAATTGTACGCTGCGATATTTTGATGTATTTGATGTGATTAACTTGTATCGCGCGCGTGATATCCAATTATACAAACTGATATATATATATTTTTTTTTATAAACTTATATTCCATCTGTGAAGATTGAGGGAAAGACTGAGTTAAAAGAGAATGCGCTTTTAACGCCGCATACTTTATATACGACAGTTTCTTATATGCCAAAAGTGAATTGTTAATTAATATTTCAAGTGATATTCACTTGAATAAATTTAGTGCATTTCAAACGCGCAAATATGACTTCAGGAAGGTCACAATTGCGAAAACATTGAACTCGAATAAAAAGAAAAGCATAGTACAAATATTTATATTTTATATATAAACTTACAATTTGGGAAGAAAATATATACATAAATGTATATATATAATTTTGGAAATTATAATAACAACATACAGAGTGTTCCGTCACGAAATCGACAAAATTGCAAGTGTGTTCGAATCATGGATGTATGAATATCTGGATGGTGCAATAAGTGGTCTAAAAGGCGAAGAAAGTGAAGCCTGAGCAGGGAAATCATGCAGCGGCATGTTGGTTGGCTAGAAAAATGGCGGTGTTAGTAACCTAACCTAACCTTGGCTTGGCAATCGCGTTCACATGGCTTGTAGAAAACCGAGCAATTTGAAGATTTGAACTTATTACCTCTACTTTTATGTATATATTCATATATTATAATTATGAATAATATTCATATATTATAAATTCCACGCTTGTTAGTTACCCGCCATCTTGATTGGTTAGTTTTCCCCTTGCCCCTTTGGCTTCAACCCCTCATGCTATCGCTCCGTCCATATATTCTTACGTCCATAGATGGTCATTCTAGGCAAAAAAATTCATATTCACCATGGGTCGGCTTAATTCCCAATGAGCACTTTGTTGTACAAGACCCCATAATGAAAGCTCTTCGATTTCCATGTATACAGGATGTTCCATTTTATTTTTGACAGTCAATATCTAAAAAAATATGGGAGATACGGAGAAAAATGTTTCAGACAAAAATTGTACGGAGAGGGAAATAATAAAATTAATTTGACATAATTTAATAAGAAATAGGTTGGGTTGTTGAGGCACCTCTCAGAAAATTCGTATAACTTCGTATAATGTATGCTATACGAAGTTATTAC